AGAGCATCAATGCGATCCCAGCCACAAAGCTAATAAAGACACAACACAGTGCTGGCACCGCATAGGAGTCAGTGGTCTCCGGGTTTCTGTAAAAATACCAAAGGAACGTCAAGGCAGCATTCTCGGTCAAGACTATCGTATAATATGCAAACATTCGATATCGAGTCCGCCCTTCCTTGACGTTAAACCAGCAGAAAATGTACACGATCCCTACCACCATGTTGAAGAGGATCTCCTCCCACTTGGACATACAGAAGTCTGTTCCGCCATGGATGATCCAGAAGGCCATGGCGCACCAGTGAACCACCACGAAGATCCCGAAGTAGAGCTGGAATATGGAAGCAAAGAGGGCAAAAGAGATAACTCTGGATGAGATGGTGAAGAGGCGCCAGAAGAGGTGGATGAGGGCCCCTCTGTAGCTCATACTCTTCTTGTCGTCCCTGGAGTCCCGCAGCAGCTTGTGATAGGAGGCTAGCACCCAAGCCAGGGACATCAGGGAAGTCACAGAGGAGACACCTGCCAGAAAGACACAAACCCACACAGTCAAAACCTTGGACATCCCACATGGGGCACAGTGGGGCTCTTGGCCGAGGAGATGCCCACACACACCGAAGTCTAAATGAGGAGGGAGAAAGAAACACATAATCAGGAACGGGCCACAGAGGCTATAGATGTTCCCTAAACTGACAACTTTTGAGATCAACTTTTAGTTTTAAGGCCCCAGTCCAGAATTTCTGGGGACTCACAACTCAAGAGTGAAGGCTGAGGCTGATGTGCCTTGCCCGGGAAGCCAAGAACTGGAGCCACCGTGGCAGTTCCTTGCATCTGCTGTGGGTCGGGTGGCACGTGTTCTGTCTGAAGGGATCACGAGCTTGTGGGGGATCCTTGTTGCACACTGACATGTGGCCAGGGTTGGTGTCCCTGTCACCAGAAGCCTGTGCTCTTAGAGGAGCCATAGAAGGGATCACTGATGGTGAAGACTGACAGCTTGCTCATTGCCCCAAGTTGCACAACTATTCTCCTCTGGGAAGACACTGGCATCTCTCCCACCTTTTCATCAGCTCACCCAATGCATCTTAACTGAAGCTTTGCATTTAGCTTCTCCATCCGCTGCCTAAGGCCACCTTGACCAAGAGTCCTGGGATCTTCTGTCTGTTTGGGTGGCTGCCTTTCTCATTCACTCCTTTCTCTCTCATTCTCACTCAGTCCTTGCTGCTTTCCCCACCCCAGCATGGCTCCAAGTTCTCCGAAGCCTTGACTTGGAGACCCATGCTTCTCTGGTACCTGTCCTGACTCAGGAGTGTTGCTCATGCTTTGGAAATGCCTTTTCCACTCAGCACCGCTGTTCATCATTCCCCTGCATTTCAGTGATACTTCAATCATTATGGAGCAATTTTATTAATAATGCTGCCTATGTGGTATGTGTAACTGAATCAAACTGAACACAACAAATAGTTACTGGAGTCTCTGACCCACGCACAAGCAACCAGCTATTAGTCAGGTATTACCATGTGATCTCCTCTCAGGCGAGACTCCCCATCACCCCTAGTCTCTCACACGTGTTCTCCACTCCGACCATCTGGAGCCTCCATTTTTCCTTTCTCCTCAGATTTCAGAACTAAATGCAATTAAATTTGGTTGAGGTCTTGAATACTGTCTCATCAAGTGACTCATTAAACTGCCCCAGCCCTGTAGTCTTTGAATTGTCTTTCCCTGGGCCCTGCTCACCGCCCCACTCCCCTCCAAGCCCCAGTGAAGAGTCAAAGTCATTTTACACCCTCCCTGCATCCACCTTCCTCACCCACCTCACGGAGCTTCCTTCCAACCTGAGAGACGCTCAGGTTCACAGCTTGCAGAACAATATAGTGCGATAACAAAAACCATTATGTTGGCGTGAACCTAGAAAAAACCCCCAGACTGTCAACTGTTGCAAGGAGTATGTGTTGCTTTCATAATAATAGCAACCAAGATTGAAAACAAACAGGGGAGAAACCATAGCAATTTTGAAAGCCAATCTTGAAAACACCTAACAGTTTCCTCTCACCTTTCTGGAAAGTTCTGAACATGATACTCTGTGTGTCTTGCTCTGCCCTTTGTATGCATAGGGCATTCCCACCGGCATCTGCTAAGACCGTGTGTGCTCCACAGCCACGTCACAGTGGTCATGCTAACGTTTTAGAGCCTCCTGTGTTTGTGCTGTCTGGTGCACTGGGCAGGGAGGAGAATGGGTGCTTTGGGAGTCACATGATTTAGGCTGTAGGTTTCTGGAGGGCAAGGAATATGCAATCATCTCAGCAGTCTGTGCCAGGCTTATTATCAATACTGGAGCATCATCAGAAAGTTCCTTTTAAACATCTTTGTGACATCAAACCCTCTCCTGGTAAACTCATTTCTTGCTGTTAATAATCTTGGTGGTACAGCTGACCTTTAATAATCAGATGGGAGTTCTACAGAAACTGAATGGGAAGAAGCCTTGATTTTTTTTTTTTTTGTTCCTTCTAATAAATCAGAATGTATTACTCCCCCAGTTCAAAAGAAAAACATGAGTACCAAGCTGGAGAAATAAGAAAAAGCAGCTTATCTTTTGCCGGAGCGTGGTCTCATTCAGTCTTACTCTGGGTGTGCTTTTGAACAGACGTGGGGTTCAGAAGTAGGACAGCCCCTCAGCCTTCACCATGCTGATCTCGATATTCTGTGTGTTGTGACATTAGCCCGTCCATGCCAAATATGAATAAACAGGAATTCAAATGTCCATCAATCTCACATAGCAAAGCCAAATACAATTGTTCCCCATTATTCTATCTTCTGGGTTACCTCTGCCATTTCCTGATCTGTCCCTGTGGCTTTGAGGTCTGGGTTCTGTTCCTGCTCCACCCATCATGAAGTATTACAGAAACTGCTTCCCTCTGAGCTGACCCACACGCTGCCTTGGATCTTGGTCAATGCTACTGGAGTTGCTCTCTAGAATACAACATGAATGCTCCCCAAACATCATAAGACATTAATGCTAATTATAAGGAGGACTTGGGACACAGTCACATGGGAGACACATCTGAGCACTTGGCTCTGGGGCTGCTTGTCAGCTGATGCCCAACCCCAGTCTTAACTCTCTGCCTTATCTCTCCCAATTTGGTATATTGTATATCACCAAACAGTATATCCACAGGGAGATTCATGGACTATCCACTTCAACCCACTCATTCGACAGGATGCAGAAGTACAGGCATGTGGGTGCCTTGCCCAAGATTACCCAACTACTGACAGTAATGTTAGGCCCACAGCACAGCTGTCTGCCTGCCTTTTCATATTGGTCCCAACACTCCATTTTTTCTGCATCCTATCCCTTTGTCAGCTCGACCCTCCACCAGGTAGTGCCTTTACTGAGGTCATAAAGGCCATCAACCTTCTCTAATAGCAGGTGTCTGTTCTAAGACCAAGCTGTTTGTCCTTCAGGGCCTTGAATGCCAGGCCACATCCTTGGCATTGTACAAATGCTCTGAGTTAAAGGGAAAAGGGAAGGTGGGAACTTCTGACATTTGGCTCATGTGCAGGGTGCCCAGGGCGGAGGTCCTGCCCAAGACCAAAAAGAGTGCATTTGTCTGGGACCTCTCTTCTCTTCAGAGCCTGAGCATGGCAAGCAGGGACAGGAAGAAACATGAGTGGGGTCATCATTCCATGACAAGCCTGCCCTACTCTCTCTGCCAGCAGCATTGACAAAGGTGATCCTTTGAAAGAGGGAATGTCTGGGTGTGGCTACCTTATAATTCACCACATTCACCAAAGAACTCCCTGTTCTGTGCAAAGCTCCAGACACATTTTTTGGGTCCAGAGTTAGTAGGCTGAGTACATCCTGAGTGGAGCCCAGAAAAAACAGGCCCATTTTAGGAAGCCATTTGGGACTTGAGTTTCTCACTAGATGCTCAACACAGAGAAACACTTGTCCTCTGAGGGCTCAGGAACCAATGGTAGAAACCATTAGATATACTTGTTATCAACTCACCTCCAAGAAACTTGTCTGGACCCCATCTGTGACATTGGCACCTTTGTTACGCTTGGTCAAGGGATTAAATGTCTCATGACTTGCCACCTTTGCATCATTTCACTGGACAAAGCCTGTGGCCTCACAAACCCACAGGACTCTAACGGCATCTCTTCCCTGAAGGACTGTCAGCAGAAGGTGCTTCAGGGAAGCCAGTTCATTCTGGGGGCTCAACTGGGGTGGGGGAGGGAGAGAGCACCAGACAGATGTGTTCCTTAACAGTGTACCTGACTGTCCCAGAGAACATAGCACGATTCACTGAGCATGTACATGCATTATCTTATTTGGAAGAACCTTGTGATGTAGGTACTTCTTGTAGGCTGAACTGTGTCATCCTTCCCACAAAAAAAAATTCACATGTCAAAGCCCTAATCCCCAGCACCTCAGAACGTTACTGCATTTGGAGACAGGGTCTTTAAAGAGGTAGTTAAGTTAAATGATACCATGAGAGGTGCCCCTAATCCAATCCGACTTGTGTTCTTATAAGAAAGGGGGACTTGGACACACAGAAACACCAGGGGATGTGCTCACACATAGGAAAGGCCATTTGAGGACACGGGGAGAAGGTGGCCATCTGCAAGCCAAGAAAGGAGGCCTCCAGAGAAACCAAGACTGTCTCCACTTTGGTCTTAGACTTCCAGCCTCTAGAACAGGGAAGAAATAAAGGTCTGTTGTTTTAGCCACCCAGTCTGTGGTATTTTATTACAGCAGCCCTAGAAAACTAATACAGTGCTCTAATTCCATTTTTTAGATGAAGAAACTTAAGATTTTTTTTAATGTTTATTTTATTTTTGAGAGAGAGGGAGGGAGAGAGACAGAGTGTGAGTGGAGGAGGGGCAGAGAGAGAAGGAGGCACAGGATCCTAAGTAGGCTCCAGGCTCTGAGCTGCCAACACAGACCCTGACTCAGAGCTCAAACTCACAAACCATGAGATCATGACCTGAGCTGAAGTTGGTGCTCAACCAACTGAGCCACCCAGGTGCCCCAAGACATTTTTCAAAATACATACATCTATCAAGAAGTAGAGTCAGGATTCAAACTCAGAGTCTGACTCCAGTGGCCCTGAAAGTAACCACTGTACTAACGGGCCCTCCAGACATGGCCTCAGAATGGGGCTGGGTGAGGTGACAGGAGAGAAAGTCTAGGTTCTCTGGGTACAAAGGATTTGAATCTTTTGCTGAGTGGACAAGAAGTTAATAGCCATGGGTATCTGAGAGAGGCGCTTGATTTTGGAGCTAAAACCCAAATTTGCATTCTAGTCTACCTTCCTCAGGAGAGTAACATTCAAACCACAAGTAAAGAGGTGATTCTGGTGAGATGGCTTTCCCTCTGTCAAGTGATTAATCTTCAAAGGCCTACAGTGTATTCCATTGCAGAGGGAAGAGGTGCAAGATTTTCCCTCACTGCTGTGGCTCACTAGAAGGTTTCTGTCTCACCTGAGGTCAATCCAAAAGTCAATGCATTATCTTGGCCAGGA